TTGGGGTGTCTCTTTGTCTCTCTCGTTGTGTCTCTGTGTCTCCTCTTTTGCTATCCCTATCGCCGCCAGATATCCCCACCTCATGAACCACACATCCATGTCGAGGCAGGTCCCCGACACACATGCATATATAAGACAATACCATGTCTTGGGTCAGGCAAAGCTTAGTCTTCAAACTGACATCTGTGCTCTTTAACACTTTAAAAACGCCTTTTGTAGCACTGTTTGGTTTATTGACTGCTGCTTCCATGAGTGTTGGTTGTGGATCCAAGTAAAATGAAATCTCTGACAACTTCAATCTTTTCTCCATTTATCAGGTTATTTATTGTTCCAGTTATGAGGATTTTTGTTTTCTTTCATTGAGGTGCAACTCATACTGAAAGGTTATAGTCTTTGATCTTCATCAGTATTTTACGTTCTTTTCACTTCCAACAAGCAAGATGGTACTGTCTGCATTTTGCAGGCTGTTAATGAGTCTCTCTAATCCTGATGTCATGTTCTTCTTCATATAATGTAGCTTCCAGGATTATCTGCTCAGCATAAAGACTGAATAAATATTGTGACAGGATACAACCTTGGCACACACCTTTCCTGATTTTAAACCATTCACTACTATCCCCTTGTTCTGTTTGAACAAGTGCCTCTTGGTCTATGTATATGTTCCTCAGTAGCACAATTAAATATTCTGGAATACCCATTCTTTGCAATGTTACCCATAGCTTGTTATGATTCTGGTATGCTCTGCTTTTAGCTAACCTCAGTCTAACATCAGCAATGGTATCCCTTGTTTCACAATCCTCTTCTGAATCGGCTTGAATTTCTAGCAACTCCTGGTCAATGTACTGCTGCAACTGTTTTTAAGTTATCCTTAAGTAAAATTTTACTTGTATGTAATATTGATGATATTATTTGATGATTTTCACATTCCATTGGATCACCTTTCTTAGCTTGTTTATAAAATGGATTAAAAAATAGTATCATATTAGGTTAAAAAGGAGCTCTGGTAGCGTAGTGGTTACGAATCGGGCTGCGAACCTC